GATAATTAAATCAAGAGAGATAAATACAAAAGCAAACATACACATAAATTTCATAGACAAAATTCAATATCGAAGGAACAAAGAAAGAAGAAAAACTCTTAACATAAAAGAACTCTTCGAAAATCTATCCCAGTGGAGCTCCTCCTCAAAGTTTCTTTCATAATTTTTGCACCCGAAAAACTAAAAGCCCATTAGCTTCCCTTTGGTCCTTTTATTTTAATTTCTTTAATTCAGGATTAATTTTGCAGCTAATTTTTGTTTCTAATTTTCTCCCGGTCGTGATCAAAGCAAATAAAAAGCCCTTCATCCGCTCATGGTCAAATCTTTTGTAATTTCATCCACCCGCTGTTGAAGCACATACTAGCATTTTCAGCTTTTCCTTCTCCGTGGCCTAACGTAACCAGAGGCATAATTCCTCATCCTTAATTTGCTGCCTTTTTTGTCTTCTTCAACTCCCTTTCACTGCAAAACATATAAAATACTCACTGACGTAATTTATTCCTATGTTTCTCATATGATAAGCCATAATTTTCCAATTTGGGAGGAACAAAACTTATTATAAATTTATAATCTGTTTATAAATTGACCTCATCAAATATCATATTCCTTCTTTTCATTAATACAAGACAAATTTTAAAAGCTTTTTTTCTGCAAAAACCAAAATAATAATAATCACAAATTTTTATTTGTTTATTATGGTTTGCATTTCTAAATAAAAATTTATTATGGTTATTAATTGTAAAAAAGGGTAAAATTGAGAAGTTAAGTATTTTTTTAAAATAATTTTAAGAATAAAACCATCAGTTTTTAATAAATCTAAAATTGGTTAAATTTGCTTTACATAATCACTTGATGGAGTATAGTAATGCTTGTATATTCTCATGATGATCAGCGACCATGATTCAAAGGCAGCGTCGTTTTTAATTTGTTGCTATTTGTTGCTTGTGGCGAGACAGCCTGCACTACGCAGGAAGCTACAAACCCTCGCCTGCGTAGAAAATGTTGGTATTTTTTCAATTTCTGTGCTTACGATGTAGTATTTAATTACCCAGAATTGTTTTATTTAGTTACCGGGCTATCATAAGAGGTGAATATGACCATGTGATTGTGATGTTGAGAAGAAGAATAGACATGTTTGAGGAGGGGATGGAGAATGAATGGATGCTGAGAAATGATGCTGTACCCGACCAGTATCCATTCAACTGTATTATAGTCTCCTATCGACGTGGCTGTGGTCCAGGAAGAGTGTCAGCTTTCACGCCCGCACACAAGAAAGGTTGCAAGTGTGGGCTCTAATACGTCCACTCTCTTTTTGTGGAAACACTCGCAAATTAAATACCATATTCTCTCGTCTCTTTCTGGCCTGGCCAAATACATAAACCATTCTTGAATGCAACTTCTCACTTCCCTCCCCATATGCTGCCAAATTTATCATTGTATCCATTATACCTATTCACCGACACGATCCACCACTAGTTGCTTGTCTTTGCCCCCCCGGATTCGTGAAAAACATATCGAAGGGGGTCCTACACCTGCTCTATTCATTTATATATAAACCTGCTTTTGCATTTTTAGGAAAACCAAAGTCCCATGAAAATGAGCACTTGCTTGTTCTGCATCAGCGTCTTCACAGAAGGCCTTGCTTCCTTTAGTTCTGGTTTTGTTAAGACTCGAACCAAGCTGGTAATATATATAAAGATTAAAACTGCTTTTCCATTATTGAAGTTGCAGCCCCAGATTTGTCCAGAGGCAATGTCTTACTTGATTGATATAGATAATTAGTAGAATCATGAACCTGATTTTTCCAGTAATTATTTAATCTGAATGGAGTCTTTGTTACTACTAAAGGGAATTAACCGTACAGAGAGCTCCTCGATGATCCCACAAAGACCGGGACCATCACCCCTTTGTCCTGTTCGTGATTTCAGTCTCAGTCTCGGGTGTCGTACGCAGTTATGGATAAGAATGAAAGCAAGCTCGCATGAATATAATATCCATAATGGTAGCGTGTGATTAATCCATAATAACAATATAATAATAACCCTTTCTCCCACAAAATGGAAGGCATTTTAAATCAGATTATATTTCGGTTTAGTTTGTTTTCTTTTGTTTCCAAATTACTTCATTCCAATCCCCCCCCCCGGCCCCCATTCCTTGGTTGCCTTGCGGATAACTACTAGGCATCCCATGCGGTGGTAATTAAATTAATAATTAGTTTGATGATCCATAACAATGTGTAATCAACTAGATTATAGCCTAATCTGATGCACTATTAATTAAAATCACATTTTCCCACATGTAGTTCATGTCGTGATTCCCAGCAATGATTTAAGAAATGAAAATTCTTAAATTCTGCGAACCACTCTTATTATTGGCTTTATTAGAGGCTTCGTCGTAAATCATGCAGAGGAGCACATGGTCCAACAAGGGACATGACAGCTCAAGAAAACGGTGGTCAACTTGTAGTTTGTCATTGGCATCAATTTATATGTACGGGGTGGTTATCAAAGTGAAATTGCGAGAATCAAAGTTTGTATTCAGAGTAAGTGCATGGCAGCATGGGCATGTTAACTACTTTCATAAGTTTAAGGAGATTAGTTAAAACTAGTTAAATGTATAAATTTTTTACGACTTTTCAAAAATTACCTTTCGAATATATAGTAGTATAATTTATCTGGGGAGGATGTAAAAACTATTAATAAAGCTAATTAAGAATGAATGAGATATGGGCATTCTGTTCATAAATACTAAGTGTTTCATTGAACTTTGTTTTGTATGATAAGGATTAATAGATATGATCTTATACATAAAACTGAAGGGAGTAGTATTTTTCATTAGGGAAGAGCTGAACATTGTACTTCAACATCTCTCACTTGTTTCTGTATAAATTAAAAATAATCGAAAAGAATACATAAGAACAGAATGGCATAATTATATTTCATTTTTCGTCTCCAAACGGTTCATTTTCCTTATTTTTTTACCCTTATTTCTCATAATATGTGGTATTTAGGTGCAGTGTGTGGAATATAGCTAGCGTACAAACGTGAGGACTAGCTTGGTGGAATACTCCGAAAGCATTTCGCAGAATATAAATTCAGGGTATGGCTGATAATCGATATAGTTTGACGACGAGAAGTTTCTACACAAAGGTCTTGGACCCTTCTGGTACCTTTGTCTTGTTCATTCATCATTATCATTCATAGTATTATTTGTCATGCATTTTCACGGAGCAGCAATTTCCTTTTTTAAGACCTGGAGCTTTATTTCCCCACTCGCTCATCGCCATTGCACACCTCGCCCTTCTCGTGCTTGTCAGGTTAAACGAGAAGCGACTCTTACAGTCTGATTTATTTCATTCACCAGATTCAAGGCCTCAAGCTTATTTAAGTGGCATGTTCCCCCAAGTACTCAAGTGCCATCGGAGACATCTTTCACTCCCTCTCAAATTCAAAAACTCGATCTCTTTCAAATTTTCATAATTTAGAGTCTTAACTGTGAAACTTTTTGTCATCTTCATGGTTGATTCTTAAAATGAACATTTTTTTTATACACTAAAATGAACATGGTACGTGGTTCTTTTTTCTGGCCCAGAAAAACATTGCTTTTTTTAAATAAAGAGGGAGACAAAAAGCCGATACATTCCCTTGGAGGTGGACCAAGTTAATAGTTGGATATTTTAGGCCCATAAACTCCAATGATACATTGAATGAAGAAAAGCTCGTGAGAATGTATACTGATGCAATATTTCCCCTCTTTCATGGTTTCCTTCCTTCGTTTTGAATTCAGCTAGTAAAGCAGTAACGTGGGTAACGTAATATCCTATGGTATTTATGGTCTATTGGTCTATATATTTATGGACTTCACGTTTGTTGATCTGAGATCAAATCCAAAGAGGATCAATCTGCTAATCTCAGAGGAATTAAATAATTTCAATTGACTTCCACTTGTCCTCATGATCGGTGCTAGAAGTAAATTTACTCTGTATTAGAGATATCAGAGTCGAGAAGAGTTTCACATTTAGAAATTAAAAGATGGATTAAAAATATATAAAGCTTAAAATATGTCCAATTAAAAAGCTTAAACTATCTTGATGATGTAGACTACTTTTAAGAAAATTTAATATAAAGAATTTAACACTGAGATCAATTGGAGCCCAGAGATTATTACCTATTGGTCTTGTTACTATATTGAATTACTTTTTATTTATTGCCTGACTTCATAAGCATTTTCATGAATTTGTCAAACCCAGAGTGCCTTGTTATTATTCTATGCATTAGTGTTTCCTATATCATAAAGAAAAAAAAAACTTGTTATAACTTATGACAATGCAATAATAGTTTGTCATAGACTAAGTAAATACCCTCTCCTTGAAGCCTTCTCAATTCTTGTTAATTTCATAGGTGAACGAACGAAACTGCCTCCTGATTTATTGATTGTTTTTTTTGCTTCTGGGCGACCGATTTGCCTCTCAAACAAGTCATTCTACCCAAAAGCGTCACGTTGGGGAAAATGTACCCAAAAGAGAGAACATCAATTGTCTCGTGACAATGGCACAAGTACTGATATGTACAATAGAGAAACAATAAATGTATTCAATCAAATGTCGCGCTGATTGAAACCAAAAAAAAAAAAAAAAACTGGTCGCTCTTGAGAGGCAACAAAAGATGCATGGAGGTGTCCAAGTATGAGAATGCATTGTCTCGCTCATCTTTTCTTCTTATGCACCATCATTGCGTACGCATATTCAGCAAACAAAACAAAATAAAAGTCAAAGAAACAAGACTTCAGGCATATTCTAAGGTGAAATCTGGAAAGGGATTGTACTACCGAAAGCAATTCTCTCGCTAGTGAACAGGCGACTACATCATGTGATTAACATTAAACATCTCTGTTTTCTTTTAATATCTTAGTTAGCAAGTTATATATATATATATTTGGTGCTTATAAAATCAAATCATAGCTGGCTATAGAGTTTATCAATGGTTATATGCCCACATATATAATTCAACAACTGGCCTCTTGTTTGTACAATCATTATCATTGCATGTCCACCTTCAGCATTTCTTATGCTGCTTATGCAAAGCAACATAGCAGGGCATCCATTTATGCTCACCAAGCGTAAGGCTTCAACATTAATGTTGTTCACCTTATGATGTTTTTAATGAACAAAATGCAAGTTTCCACTGCTAAATCTAGATTTAACAATAGTTTACTTATATTTCAAAAAATGATGAATTATTTTAATCTGAAATTTAAAAGATTATTTTTTATTCATCAATCTTAACTCAAGGAATAAAATATACACATATAATGTTCATGGTCCCATTATTTTATCCCCAATGCATGTTTAATTATGATTGTTTTATCACGCAGGATCATCATGAAGAGTTGAACAAATCAGGACTTGAGACAGCGACTAAAATCCTGTTGAGCCTGCAAAACCAAGTCATCATCTTCCCAGTGGTCGCGGTATGCCACAGGTTTGAGGACCCTGCTCTTGGATGCGGCTTCATACATTTTCTGTCTCCATTCTTCCACTGGAGGAATCCCACACTGGGCTGCAATCCAGTTATTGTAGTCCCATTGCTGCTTCACATCCCAACCAATCAAACCATAACATATTTGGAATTTTAGAACATTATCAAATGTCTCAGCACATTGAAATAGCTGGATACATACCTGACCCTTGCCTAGGCAGTGAGCATAACGCTTCGGCATGCCTGAGATTTCCAGGGACGAGTAAAATGCCTTCACATCTTCCATCATTTCCTCTTTAGAAGGCAGGGCAATGCGATTTGACAGTATTCCAGCTATCCACTTGCTCTGCAGCTCGCACATTATGAAGGGGACAACCTGCCACCAAATTTATGAACTCCTAAAGACATCTTTGTTTCATATAGAAAGAAAAGAAAAAAAAAAAAAAACAGAGAGATGGAATCAGACCTTCCATGGTATCCCCACAAATGAAAGCCATGGGGCCAATGCTGGAGGGAAAACATGTTTATAGAGTGGTTCCACACAGTTATCATCTACAGTCACTGCACCATTGGTTTCAAGGAAAGGGAAATGATACTTGTACCTGCATGAGGAACAAGCGGCTACTTTCAACTTTTGACTACTCTTGCTGAATTTTGTGTCTTAATTGAACACCATGCATCATATATTAGTTTCTTCAATATAACTTGATAGAACTAAAGGAAAATTGTCAGAAAATACCCTGTACAGTGTAGAATGACATCGGCACAAACTGCATTTCCATCTTTAAAAACCACTCTTCCATCTTCATGGACACTGTCAATCTGCATTGTTCAACACATTTTTATCAACCATTCTAAGTAGCATCATATCCATCAAATAAATTGACCGATCCTCCTGATCGCCATCCAATTCTCACCATAGATGACAAGTTTTACCAGAGAATGAAGCCACATATTCTCAAACCCAGGTAGCTTTCCCAGTTTATCATCTGCAACGGACCTAGAAGCAACGTGAACCTCTTTAGCAACTCCAGAAATTTCTATTGAGATGTCAACACCACTAGACGCGTTACCTATCACAACCACAACCTATCCAGAGAGTAATGGGAAAGCCAAATCAAAAATTAACAAATCAAGTTAACAGCAAAATCATGATTCCAATTGTTTTTCCTTAAAATATTTGAGCTTCGAGCGAGAGGCAGCTTAAGTTGATTTTCTTTTAGACCTCTCCTACCGTTATAGTTGAGATAAATTAGACACACCTCTTCGAATTAGACATTTATAAACTCTTACATTGGAAATTGTGGTTAGAAATAGTAATTATTTAATGTAAATATATGTTATTATTGGGAGAGATATTGGGTAGTTATAATAGAGTGATTTACGCGATTCACTTCCCGATATACTCCTCTGATTCTATCTCCATCATTCTCGGAGATATGATCAGTCTTGCTTATGTATATATTGCTGTACATACCTTCTGATGAATATACAAGAGTAATTCGGCTCAATAACTTCATGGTATCAGAGCCGCGACACTTTCCAGTGGAATCCGGCGCCGAGAGCTTCGAAGCAGATAGTACCGAGAGTGAGGCGAACCCAACTGACACTGTTCTGATGTCGACTGATGATGGGTCCTCTAAGATCGATCAGAGCAAGGTAGGTGGTCTCATAGGATCGACTACCAACCACGAAGGGTCCTCGGTGCATCTCGTCTCTGTGAAGCTTAACGGTGCGAACTACCGTATGTGGGCGCAGGCCATGAAGCTCGCAATTGGAGGTCGGGGGAAGATGGGCTATCTTGATGGCTCATCGAAAACTCCAATAGAATCCAAGACGCAAGAGTTTCAGCAGTGGCACACGGAAAATGCGCTGGTATCATCGTGGCTGATAAATGCCATGGCTTCAGAAATCCAGCAAAGCTTTATGTTTCTTCCCTCAGCCCATGAAATTTGGAAGGCTGTGCGAGACTCCTACTCTGATGGGAAGGATTTGGCTCGCATATATGAGCTTAAAACGAAGGCATGGACACTGCAACAGGGGGAGCGTGATGTCACGACCTTCTGGTTGGAACTTAATGCTATTTGGCAGGAACTAGACCTGATGACAGACTTAGAGTGGTCAAGTAGCCAAGATGCAACACACGGTATAGGGAGCAGATGGAAAATGAACGAGTATTTCAGTTTCTTGCCGGTCTGAACCAATCTTTGGATGATGTACGAGGATGAGTTTTGAGTCGTACACCGCTTCCATCAACCAGAGAAGTATTCTCTGAGGTGCATCGTGAAGCTTCAAGACGCAAAGTTATGCTTCCGGGGCCCACTTCCGCTCAACCAGCATTGGACTCGGCTGCACTTGTGAGCAAGAGCAATGACACGAGTCAGAAGACCCAAAAAGGAAAGGTGTCCTGTGACCATTGTAAGAAGACTGGACATACTCGTGAGACATGTTGGGATATACATGGCAAACCAGTTGATTGGAAGCCGAGGAAAGGAAAGACACGAGGATATCAGACTTCTCATGATGTACCACCAGATAAATCAGAATCAACCCCACCGGTGCCTGAGATTGATAAGGAACAACTCGGTAAGTTGCTCGAGATGCTCAGTATGCTCCAGCAGAACGAAAAAAGGCAGAAACAAAATCATAATGCATCTGTGGCCCATAAAGGTAATCATGCCTTACTTCTACTAATAACTTCAAATGGATTGTTGATACTGGGGCAACGGACCATATGACATCAGACTCTACACTATTCAGCACCTATGCTCCTAATGCTGGAAATGAAACAGTAAGCACAGCAAATGGGACGTCCTCATCAATAGCAGGGACAGGAAGTGTCGCTATTTCTAAAATTTTGAAATTAGAACATGTCTTACATGTGTCGAACTTGGCTTGTAGTTTACTGTCCATTAGTAAGTTGATTAAACAAGCTAATTGTTGGGCTCATTTCTGTTCTACTCATTGTATATTTCAGGACCTCTCATCGGGGAAGATGATTGGCAGTGCTAAGGAGCATAATGGTCTCTACTATCTTGATGAATCTACCGTGAGTAGTCTTTGGTCTCGAATCTAGTGCAATATTGCATCTACCTCAGAAAATAAAGACTTTAAGGATCTTATGTTATGGCATAGGAGAATGGGTCATCCAAATTTCCAGTATTTATGTTGTTTGTTTCCAGAATTTCTAGCCAATAAAAATTCTTCATTTCATTGTACTGACTGTGAACTTGCTAAACATCACAGATCTGTTTTCAAGCCTGTGGAATATAAGTCTACCCATCCTTTTTCCATAATCCATAGTGATTTGTGGGGTCCTACTCGTGTTACTAATCGTACTAATACAAAATGGTTCATTACATTTATTGATGACCACACCAGAATGTGTTAGGTTTACTTATTACAAGATAAGTCTTCTGTACCCTCTGTTTTCTCCAAATTCTATACTATGATAAAAAACCAATTTGATGCCACAATCCAAGTGCTTCATACTGATAATGGGACTGAGTACTTCAATAAAACCATGGATCTGTTTCTAGCAGACCATGGAATTGTTCAGAAAAGCACTTGTCCTAACACCCTTCAACAAAATGGCATTGCGGAAAGGAAAAACAAACATCTTTTAGAAGTTGCTCGTGCTTTATTATTCACATATAACGTTCCCAAATATTTCTGGGGTAATGCCATTCTTACAGCAACATACTTAATCAACCGCATGCCTAGTCGCGTTCTTTCTTATATTTCACCAATTGAGAAACTCAAAGAATCTCACTCCATCACTCATCTTACCACTGACCTACCTCTTAAAATATTTGGTTGCACCACCTATGTTCACTCTTACCATTCTCAAAAATTGGATCCTAAAGCTGTCAAGTGTCTCTTCCTTGGTTATTCCTCAACACAGAAGGGGTATAAGTGTTTTGACCCTCATACTAAAAAACTCTACGTAAGTCGAGATGTTACCTTTGTTGAGCATGAACCCTTTTACCCAAATGCTTCAATTCAGGGGGAGAGAGGGAGTGACTTTCAGCATTTGGAAGATGTTTCAGGTCCTATTATTCCAGAAAAACCAAACCCAAAAAATCCTCAATCTCAGTACCATACTGATTCTGAATCTCTTGTCCCTCATTCTCTTGTCCCTCATACCACCGAACTCAGAATCCAGTCTCCTAGGTCAGAAACTAAGGTGAAAAGTCCTTCAAAGCATCATAAAAATGCAGAAAATGCACTGGAAAAGACACCAATCACTTACTCAAGGAAGAAATGGCGAGAAAGGGAGATTGTTATGCCTGAAGTACAGCCAGAATCTGAACTAAGAGGGGCTCCTGAGATTGAGAACATAGACAGTAAAAATCTCTCTCAAGAATATGAGGCAGAAGAGGTAGTTGAGATGGAGGAAGTGGAAGAGTTAGATCTACCTATAGCTCTCAAAAAGCAACCTAGAATGTGTACACAGCATCCTATTCAAAGGTTTGTAAGTTACCGTACCTTGTCTTCACCATTTCATGCATTTGTGACTAATCTTGACAAAGTGAAGATTCCTAATAATGTGTATGAAGCATTGAGCATTCCAGAATGGAAAAATGCGGTACTTGAGGAAATGAATGCATTGGAAAAGAATGGCACGTGGGAGATAGTAGAACTTCTGAAAGGAAAGAGAGTTGTGGGGTGTAAATGGGTATTTAACCATAAACATGATGCTGCTGGTAATTTAGACAGGCTAAAGGCACGATTGGTGGCAAGGGGGTTTACTCAAACGTATGGTTTGGACTACAAGGAGACATTTGCTCCCGTGGCCAAACTAAATACAATCAGAATTTTGATTTCTGTAGCTGTAAATCTGGACTGGCCCTTGCACCAACTAGATATTAAAAATGCTTTCTTGAATGGGGATCTTAAGGAAGAAGTCTTTATGACGTTACCCCCAGGCTTTGAGGCAGGGAGAAAAAATCAGGTGTGTAAGCTGAAAAAATCATTGTATGGTTTAAAGCAATCACCTCGGGCTTGGTTTGACAGATTTTCCAAAGTTTTGAGGGCAGAAGGGTACACACAGGGGTTGTCTGACCATACTATGTTTGTAAAAATGGAAGGAGGAAAAAGGTGTATTCTCATAGTATACGTTGATGACATAGTTGTCACCGGCGATCATGAGGAGGAAGTAAAAAGAATAAAGATGGCTCTTAGAAAAGAATTTGAAGTGAAGGACCTTGGGAATTTGAAGTACTTTCTGGGTATGGAGGTTGCAAAGTCAAAGAAAGGGATCCATGTGTCCCAAAGGAAATACATCATTGATTTGCTTACTGAGACAAGTATGTTAGGATGCAGACCTACAGACACACCTGTCATGGTCAAGAAAAAGGGGGCTAAACCGAGAAAAGAGAAGGAAGATGAGATTGAATCTGAAAAAGATAACTGTGAAGAGGAAGAAGAGAAGAATGAGTCAGTGGACAAAGAGAGATACCAAAGGTTAGTTGGGAAACTAATCTATCTCTCTCACACTCGGCCAGATATAGCGTTTGCGGTATGTGTTGCCAGCCAATATATGTGCGACCCGAGGGAGAGGCATATGGAAGCAGTGTATAGAATCTTGAGATACTTCAAAGGAACACCTGGAAAAGGGTTGTTATTCAAAAAACAAAACCTACAATCCATAGAAATTTATACAGATGCAAACTGGGGAGGAACATACAAGGATAAGAGGTCAACATCAGGATATTGTTCCTTTGTATGGGGAAATCTAGTCTTATGGAAAAGCCAAAAACAGAGAGTAGTTTCTAGGAGTAGCGCTGAATCAGAATTGAGGGCGTTGGCTCAAGGCATTTCAGAGGTATTGTGGGTAAAACGAGTCATAGATGAGATACATGTCAGAGTTGCTCCTCCATTAAAGCTCTACTGTGACAACAAAGCTGCAATCAGTATGGCGCTAAATCCTGTCCAACATGAAAGGTCCAAGCATGTGGAAATTGACAGACACTTCATTAGGGAAAAAGTTGAGGAAGGAGTCGTGTGCCTCATCTACCTACCAACTAGACTCCAAGCTGCAGATGTGCTCACCAAGGGATTACACAAACCAGCGTTTGATAATTGTATTAGCAAGTTGGATATGATTAGCATCTATGATCCAACTTGAGGGGGAGTGTGGTTAGAAATAGTAATTATTTAATGTAAATATATGTTATTATTGGGAGAGATATTGGGTAGTTATAATAGAGTGATTTACGTGATTCACTTCCCGATATACTCCTCTGATTCTGTCTCCATCATTCTCGGAGATATGATCAGTCTTGCTTATGTATATATTGCTGTACATACCTTCTGATGAATATACAAGAGTAATTCGGCTCAATAACTTCAGAAATCATCCACTGGGACACCAACCACACTCTTTTTCTGAAGTAAGAGGACCATCATATTATCAGAACAAATTTCCATTCTCAACTGAATGTTAAAGAATTAACAGTTGAACATCTACCTCTTATGAAAGAGTGTTTTTCCCTCAACTAAATTTAAAATTGGCAAGAGTGGAGCCGTTGCCAGAAACACAAGGAGATATCGGGTCCTGTAATCTTGTTATGTATAAGCAAGGGCTATATAGTGATACATCTTTCAATATAACTCCCTCATCGCTTTTGGGCACATTTCGAGTTTCTCTTCAATGAAATTTCAGATTAAGAGTAACAAGGGATGTCCATAAACCAAATAACAGCCATAGGTGTGATGCTTGTATTCAACTACATGGGCACGATAAAACAATAATAAAGCCAACAAGTATGATGAATAAAAGATGACAAGAAACTGCAACAACAACAGCAACCTATGGAATAGAAAATAAAGGAGCATGATGCATACTTGATCTTGAAAGGGCTCAGGTGTCCGATAATTATGGCTATGCATTTGCTTCCCCGGCCATACATTAATGCCTGGATGCAATACAATTGCCACGTGGAAACGATCAGTATTTAAAAAATCAAGAACACAAAGCGTCCATTTTTGTACGGCGGTGATGAGGAAAGACTAGATTCTTGGAGTCAAGGGAAAGCGCTTCTACTTTTATACAGTGCCAAAAACGACAGCGAGCAGTAGATTCATGAAACGCAAGCGTGCTTTTTAGTTTTCATCGGGACTTACAGAGGTAATTTATCAAGATGACTCGGTTCTCTTCAGTTTTCATACATACACTTTTCCATGATAATGACTAATTTATTGGCAGGAACCATCACATAGTAGTTGGTTTCCGATTATTAGTACTGTCAATTGGAGTCTTGATGTTGAGTTCGTATGTCTGAAAATGATCAAATAAGAAAGGAAAAGCTACCGGGAATATCAGCAATGCGAGGCTGAGTGAAATGTCCATTGCAAACGACCACAGCGTCGTAAATTTCATCCACACCAACGCCACCTCTGCCTCTTGATCTTACCCTCCATTTCCCACTATCTGCCAACTTGGCGGATACAACCTCCGTCTCGAACCGCACCAATTCATTGATGCCAAAAGCAGATGCGAAGTCTTGCAAATACATCAATACCTCTTTGTGACCCGGGAATCTTCTCCCATCTCTCCCGTTGCTTTCTCGCTTTACAAACGGGTAATCTTGAAACCCCATGATTTCCCTCGGGAGATTGGTGCGGAGCGATTGGTAGAGGCTGGAATGGACCACGGGTCGATCCGGATTCGTCCCGAGCAGGTCGGACTCCACATTTGGGGTGTAGATCCAGGTGCCCCCTACCTGGTCACCTCGCTCGAAAACTACAACTCGATGGCCTTCTCGTCGAAGCTCACGGGCGGCGGCGAGTCCGCTGGCGCCTGCACCTATCACCGCGACGTTGCGAGATGCTAATGGGGGGATTGCGGTCGACATAGGTTGGTGTTGGATTAGCCGCAGCAACGGAGGAGAAGCGCCGAAGATGCATCGTCACCTTACAAGTTGTCCTACAGTGAAGATTCGACTGACGTCATTAGTAATGACCCTTTTTTTTGTCCTCTTCGTAACCTTGAAACTTTAAAAAGTGTAACTTCTAAACAATTTCTATCGGGACTTCAATCCTAAAATTAAAATTCATCAATTCATGTACTTTTTTTTTATTATTTTAAGTATATCTAATATGTGTGTTTGGATTGTAAAAATAATTAATTTTTAACCTAAAAAATCAATTCTTCACAAAATTATCTAAGCACTTACTTTTTTGGTTAATCAATTTTTTTATTAAAAATTAATTATTTTTAAAAGTTGAGAATCAGAGCTTTTGGCAAAAAGCTTGTCAAATAATATTGAAAAAAAATATAAAGATAGGTTCAAGAAAAAATTATTAAAAAAAGTACATAATTTAATAAAAAAAATCAAACTCTTTTCTTTTTTTTTTAATAAAATCCAAACTTTATATCTTCAAAAAATTGTTGTTTGATATTTAAGAATTAAATTATATAGTAATTTATATAATTAAAATTGATCCTGATTAAATTATTCAAACATTTTCAGTTCTATTAAAATTAATTTCAAAAAAATAGTATCCAAACAAATTGTGTTATAACATAATCAATTATGATTAAAATTTACCACTTAGTCAATTATTTTCATAATTTATTATACCCAACTGAAATTCAAACGGGCACTATGACATAATTTGAAATTTTATTTTAAGTTTGAATTGAAATAACATTTTAAAATAAAATAATCAAAATATCTTTCTTTCAATATGTTGTAAGGTGATAAGTAACACATAAACATTAATAAATAAAATAAAACTTTTAATAAATAATATTATCAATTAATAATAGAGTTTATTTGCGTTGTGATAAGTGCGTTACCCAGCATGGGCCTGTTGATTTCTATGGCATTTTATTTGGTGTATTCCTCATTCTGAACTGTATTCCTCAAGTTATTTTGTCGACATGATTAAAGGAACGTTACCATATCGCAAGTGTGTCTTACTAGCTACCTTTTCAATGAAATATATCCCATGCCTAGCCTGAGAGGGGCTCATCTTGCCAACAATTTAATATAAAACACCCTTCTTGTTTTTAGGTTAATAATTTAGTCAAGCTTCACACACTAGAAATACCCCCATACGGGTGCAGGAAATTTTTAGCTTTTGACTTTCAGGGGGTTAATTACCTCAAAAGCATCAAGGTTTTGCTGGTTTCTTTTGTGATGAAGCCTGAATATCGGATCCATGCCACATGTATTATAAGGCTTGTCAACATGTTAGATATAACTATTACTAATTTAAGTGGCCCACTCAAACAAAATAAAAATAAAAATGCTACTCAAAAAGTATGACAAGAACAAAACTTCAAAGGAGATGAGTCACTTGTTGAGCAAACACATTCTCCGGTCATAAATACGATACTTAAGTCAGTCACTTGTGCACAAGGGGACCGGAGTAGAAAGAAGAAAGCAAGTGTGGAAGTTGGTGAGAGGTGGTGAAGAGAAAGGTGTGTTGAGGGAGTGAGTAAAGAGTAGAAAAGAAAAAAGAGGAGGAGGAATGACGGAAGAAGGGGGACAGAGAGACTAAGAAGTTTGTAGTTTGGTGCATTTTAAATTTGGGTGCGGAGTAAAAAAATTTCTTCCCTTCAAATCCTTTCTCTTATTTTTTCAAGAATCCTGGATTTTTTTTTTCCCGCTTATAGATCCTGCACAACACCGATGGAGTGTTTTTTTTTTTTTTTAATTTAAAAATAAGGAGTCCTTTTGCAGAGCAGAGAAGGATGGCTGCTCTTACTGGTGGTTCATGGAAATGAATAGGTCATGTAGAATTCAAAAGATGATAATGAAAAATAAGCCATCAACAGAGAGTGCACTCCATCAACTTGGTTCCTCATCCCGCCCTGGCCAGTGGTCTTGGTTCAAAGTTCAGATTTCTACCATTTTATTCTCCTCCTTAAATAAAGCAAAGTCCTTTTTTTTGGGGTGCCTTCTATTTCATATGGCTTTGGTGACAGAGTACAGACCATAATCTGCAAAGCGTTGTTCGAGTATTAAAGCAATTAGATGAAAAGAATCAGACCACTCTGCCTCCTCCATCTCCTTATTGTGAAGCTAAATGGATTCTGCTTTGGAAGAACTACCCAGGGAGGAATTAATAAGTAATTGAGCTGTTTGTAAGTGGCTGCCGCCATCAGCTCATCAATACCGGTCTCCGGTCATAAGTTTCCAAGTTAATTTAACATATGCTTGTTTGCTTTTTTGGGTTCAAAAGGTAGCAAAAAAATCTCGTCTTGGGCCGGCCCACCAAAAAGCATAAAAGTTATTGTCCAGGCAATTTTTGTACCAAGAAAATGTCAGAGGATCCGGCCTAGATGGTAACCCAAAGGAACCAGTGTCCACTTGCGTGAGCAACATTGAAGGGAGCTTTCAATCCCTGTCTCTTCAGCTATGCAGTGCAGTGTTCGGTATTGCGACAGATTCATTTTGATTTTGGTTTTGGTTTATTTCCAATCAATCTTTCCCAGAAAATTGGAAGATTTTAAATAATATCAAAATTAATAAAAATTATATTTTACACTAAAAATGTAACCTAAGTCATCTCTCTTGAAGTCAATAGATTAACTGTTTAAATTAAAATTGCGAACAGCTAAATAGTGGGAAAATTTTTTTATGAAGAAATTAATTTAAAAAAATAAATTAAAATTAAATAATTAAAAGTTCAATTGAGAAAGTTATGAAGCATGAGCATCGCATGTAATCACAATCCAATCAATTAAACTTAATCTTTCCCATTCATAAAATAAATTTATTTTATTTAATTTTATTATTCTAGTTTTATTATATATTTCCTAAATTATCATTCAAAAATTAAATAAGAAATTAAGTTATGAAGTAATTGAAATCTTCCTTAATCTACAACTTAACAACTATTTCTATATTAACTACACAAAAAACAAAGCATGAATAATTATCAAAATCAAGCCAAATTGTAAAACCTTGAATTCTATTCGAAGTGTTTTACTATCCTCACCTCCACCCCCCCTAAAAAAAAAAACTCCAAGAGCTAAAACATGAAGAATGAATATAGACTAGTGGAGAATATTTCTCCCTGGACTACTGAGTTCATATGTGATTAGTTAACCAACTGTCTCGGACTCAACGAAATTTCCTTACATATGAGAGTTATGATTTCTGTTACCTAGAATATTTAGCGGCTTTTCCTACGGAAAGATCAAGAGAGCCATGATGGGCTTCCGCCTTAATTATGTGAGATATTAAGGACTCTCAAATGAAATAAAGATAAGTAGATAAAATGTGTAACGTGGCCGACCATCACCAACTCCAAAGATAGCAGATAGAGGAACGGTCCTAAGGGCAAACTAGATCTTCAAGTTGAATAATTTACAAGAAAGAAATCTAGCTACTTGTGCATTGATGGTGGGCGAAGCAGATCAACAGCTAATTAATTAAGCACTCTCATGATGAACACTATTAATAATTCCTCGTTAGACAGCAATTTCATTAAGCATTCGATCTCTTCATTGTGATGGTGACTTGACTTCCCCGGCTTTGCCTCTATATGAAGAAAGATAGGTGAAAGTGATGAGAAGGGAACAAAAGGGACCGAGTGTGGAAGTGTCGGCTGTGATTTCTAATGCTAAGTGGAATAGGCCAATAGGATGACGATGAGAAAAAGTACTCTAACTAGGTATATATTTTTAAAAGGGAAAAAGAACAGGTTTTAAAATAAAGAAGGCGGTGGAAACCAAACAGTCCAAAGTGTGTGGGGTTTGTGAGTTGAAGAATATGGATAAAAAATGGGCAAGGAGACAGACATTGGATGCTGGTTTAATGGTGAGGAATGTGGAACTCACATCTTGGGAAATTGAGAATGGGAAGATCTGCTTATGATTATCTCCGGCATTGAATCATGAGGAGGATCCTTTGGGGAATATGAAATTGTGTGGGAGGACTATGCTCCGACGCTTATCGAATGATGAGATTACGTTTGAGCCATGAGTGCGCTCTCAATACTCCAAGCAGAAAGCTATGTGAATGTGATCCACCATTTTTTTGGATTTGGATTGGGAAGAAAACATGAAAGATAGAAAATTAGAGGGGAAAAAAATAGTAAAAGATGTCTTTTTCTTCTATTATCCTCCACCAATTTTCTTTTTTCTTTCTATTTTCTTCTCATTCTAAATGCAGACTTAATATTTGACTTGTTTTTTTTTTTTCAACTATCAAACATCATTAATGTTTGCCTCCTTAGATTTGAATCTAGTAAATAACCCAAGTGACCTACTCACTTAATAAATATTTTACATAAAATGTTAATAATCATTTGATTTAATTGAATGATTGTCAAATATTTTATCATGTAATAATCAAAAAGTATCAGATCTTTAACTTGTAGGGGGTACAGTGTATGTGAAAAATATTTTGATCATGTGAATTATTTTGAACTTTTAAAGAGAAGTATATTTTAATAATTTTTAAATATTAATAAAATTCAATGATCATAATTTATACATTTCAAACAAGTGAACTTGAATCACTCGTTGAATCCAAATTTAGGAAAGAAAAGGAAAGAAATTTTAGATGTGCCTTTGATAATTTTTTAAGTATTGGTAAAATTCAATGATTATAATTGATGTACTTATTGAATTAATGAGTAGACCAAATCCAAATCTTTCCTTCCCTTTCCTTGGTGGTAGGGCTTACTCTTTCTCATTTTCTTTAATCTCTTGACGCAATCGCGCAGCCATATTATACTCCCTGCCTACCCATCAATTATATGGTCCTTCATCAAACAAGCCTATTATGCAAAAGTTCTAGCAAACCCTAGCTTCTTCATATTTCATCATTGTTTTCTCCTACGGCCATCAATTCCTCCTTTTTCTTCTTATTGTGTATTATATATATGACTATGAGATCTGATGTGAGAGTCACATTAATCATTATGCGTTTTCCATGCTACTGATTCTACATACAACTGATATTAAATTCACCGCCA